TTGGAAGGATGGAAGGCTGAGTCAACCTTGAGCCGGTGAGATTAGAACCGCTGAACTGCAGATAACAGTCAGCTGAAGTGGCCTGCATTACTGCACCCCTAACCACTGCGCCACCTCGGCTCTTAGAAGCGGCCCACCTCCTTAATTCAGGAGGCGAATGTTGTGCCTGCAAGCCGTCTTTTCTTTTGGGACTTCAATCTAATTTTAATAAATTGGAACTTTTGAGGGATCTCTTGCCTCGGGTTCTTATTTTATTCTGGATGCTATCTGGGACCCTGAGAGCGTGTTTCGAAGAGAGCCCAGGGATGGGAGGGGCATCACGGAGCAAAGGGGCAGCAAGGGGGATCGTTCTGCCCTGGGGGCCGTTTTCTCTCCGGGCCTTTACCTCGATTGCGATCTGGCTGGGATGCGCCTCGGTTCCTCCAGCCGGGTTCCCCGGGCAGCTGATCCCCCGAGACCCAACTGTGCAGCTGGCTCTCCAGGAACCTGTTGCCCCTCAGAGGCGACTCTCCGGCAGAATCCGGCCGCAGGACGTTCCTGATGGTCTGGACGTTGCGCCAGGGGGCCTCAGGGTTGAAAGGCGGCTTCGCCTGGCCGCCCGGCTCCCCCGCCCCGGACTTCTCCCCGCAGTCGATGGGATGCGTCTTCAGTTCGCGCAGCATGATGTTGCGGTTGCACCGGCCGCATCGCTCAGTCCGGGCCCCGCAATAATCCTCGTGGTCCTGGAGCTTGCAGAAAGCCAGCTCAATGTCACAGTGCTGGCACACGACAGGCCGCAAGGGACACTCGAAAGCCTGCGAGGGAGGAAGGCAGAAACGGCCCGTCACCCCCCAAAAGTAGGCTGGGGACGTCATATTCTATGCACCTGTTCCAGGAGGTACATCCCATCGTCCTACAGCAAATCTTCCGTCCCCCAAAATCAGGCAACAATTAGCTTACTCACTACATGGTCCTGTAAGAGCCCCCTGTCCATTCTCATGCTGCATTTACAGACAATCTAGGGTCCGAAAGAAAGGCGGATCAGAGTCAAGGTTGCAGAGTGAGGCCCGTCTCGTCTAGGGGGGGAGACGAGGGCGCGGTTGGAGGAGGAGGGGGAGGCTGGATCACCTGCGCGTGCTCTTGCTCCTGGTGAGCCCTCATCTCCGCTTTGGGGAAGGACTCCTTGCAGAGGGGGCAGACGCCAATGTTCCGGCTGCAGTGGATCTCGTGGATGGTGAAGTTTGCCAGAGGAATATCTTTTCGGCTGTTAAAAGAGCGTGACCCGTCAAAAGCGCGTTCCACAAAAGCGCGGTCGATGAAATCGCGTATGTGATGTCATCGCAACGCGACGAAAAAGAT